AAAAAAAAAAATTTCTCTTTCCCAAGAGCTCAAAACCTATCTCTGTTTTAGGTCAGCATTCTGCTGACTTTATTATATATATGAATATACAATAGCAAAATTCTGTCTCAAAAAAAAAAAAAAATTTCTCAAAAAAAAAAAAAAAAAAAAAAAAAGAATTCTCATCTCCATATTGATGGTGAAGGTTCACTTAACTCCCTTCTCCATATTTCTTCCCTATCCCAGTTTAAGTGCTGTGGGGCTGCTAACTACACAGATTGGGAGAAAATCCCTTCCATGTCGAAGAACCGAGTCCCTGACTCCTGCTGCATTAATGTCACTGTGGGCTGTGGGATTAATTTCAACGAGAAGGCGATCCATAAGGAGGTAGGGAGGAAACTGTGTATGGGATTTGGAAAACCTGGGAAATGTTTTAGAAGGCAAGAGACCCAGGATGGAGGTGGACAGCGTCAGGGATGGGGAGGGGATCTGGAAATGGTAAGGGTGGGGTGAAAGGTACCGGGGCAGGGAAGAGATTGATGGACCAGGGGAGGGGATTGGGGTGGGAAGTTTCTGATGGTGCTTTTATCCTTTGTGCTTGCCACCCTTCAGGGCTGTGTGGAGAAGATTGGGGGCTGGCTGAGGAAAAATGTGCTGGTGGTGGCTGCAGCAGCTCTTGGAATTGCTTTTGTTGAGGTAAGAGATAACCTTGAGAGAGGGCTGGGACTCAATCCAGGGTGCCTGGAGGATAGGGGCCGAGGGGAGAAGGGTGCTGAGCAGGAGGTACTGACCTGGGAGTGTGTGTTTGGAGTCTCTTGCATGGGTCTCGGGTAGCTGGCCCTTCTGACTCCTCTCCATCCCCATCCCTATCTTTCCTTCTAGGTTTTGGGAATTGTCTTTGCCTGCTGCCTCGTGAAGAGTATCAGAAGTGGCTACGAGGTGATGTAGGGGTCTGGTCTCCTCAGCCTCCTCATCTGGGGGAGTGGATAGTATCCTCCAGGTTTTTCAATTAAACGGATTATTTTTTCAGACCGAAAAGAGAAATGGTCTGAGTTTGTCTTAGAGTGATGCTTGATTCTTTCCTTTCCTTACCCATGTTGCCTGTCCTCTGGGACCTTACTGCATGTGTACTTCGAGAAGGTCTATTCTGGGGGGTGTTTGGGAAAGGAGGACTTTGCTGAAGGTGTTGGTTGGACAGGCAGTGGGAGAAGTGAGGATCCAGAGACTGTAGTGCTTTCTGCCCCCTAGTCTTATGCTGCCAGGCTCACTATGAACATTCACGAAGCCATCTGCTACGTAAGTCAAAGCAGCTCCCCAGAAAGGTCTCACCTGGGAGAGCCCAGCCCACATCTGCCTTGGACATCTTCCTGGCCTTCTGTGCACCGCTAAGGGCCCAGCACCTCCCTTCCTGGTCAATCCTCAAGGCATCCAGCTCCTTTTTTTTTTTTTTGAGACGGACTCTTGCTTTGTCACCCAGGCTGGAGTGCGGTGGCGCATCTCGGCTCACTGCAAGCTCCGCCTCCCGGGTTCACGCCATTCTCTTGCCTCAGCCTCCCAGTAGCTGGGACTACAGGCGCGCACCACCACGCCTGGCTAATTTTTTGTATTTTTAGTAGAGACGGGGTTTCACCGTGTTGGCCAGGATGGTCTCGATCTCCTGACCTCGTGATCCGCCCGCCTTGGCCTCCCAAAGTGCTGGGATTACAGGCGTGAGCCACCGCGCCCGGCGGCTCCTTTCAAAGTGTGGTTAAGTTGCCTTGACACCTGTGTGGCCAGTGTCCTTAGCAGGAGAATTTATGTGAACATTGCCTTTTCTTCCATGGAAGCCACCCAGCGTGGCCTCGACCCCTCTTCATCACCTGCTCTTCTCCCCCAAGAAATATAAAGACCATTCCCAGTACAGACACTGAACTGCAACCTTACTCCCCTTCAGAAAATAAGGGAAATGTATCAAAGTGCCCTCTGATGGCCACTCCTCGAGGGGCAGCTGTAGATGTGAGGCAGTTCCTTGGTGCCCCACTGTGGGTGCTGGCTGTTTTGCAGGCACTAAAGAGGCCACAGACCGTGAGCATGTCGGTTTGGAGTAGTTAGCACTTAAATGGGGTCAGCCTTCCACTGGGCACATTCATTTCTGCCCACCTTCTTTTTATTTTTTAAACAATACACTTTTGTTAGTGCTTATTTTGTGGCAGGCACCAGGCAGTACCAGGGTGGGGGCAGAAATAAAGTCCTTGCCCTTGAAAAACAATCTCTTGTTGGAAGGCTGGATTCAACAGACTGCTTGGGCAGGCTTGGGAAGGATCCAGGTGAGCACAGCATCCACCAGGCTGGCTGGCAGGTAGGAGGCAGGCAGCCAGAGCAGCTTGGCATCCCAGCCTGGGCTGTAGCGGGTTCGGGGGTGTCGAGCAGTCAGGGCATGCTCCAGGCATTGGCTCACCTTGGTTAGGTCCGGGTCACAGATCAGGTTCATGATGCGCTGTTGCATTTTCAGGTCTGCACCCCATAGGTGGTTGCAATCAGTTTCCCTTCCCCACTCCAGCCCATCTTAGGTACTGTCTTCTGGGGCCCTGGGCTTGTCACCCTCAGTCCCCTCCTCAGTGTGGGGAGTAGGCAGGTTCCACATGGCCTGGGCACTCTTGTGGCATCCCATTCACCCTCAACCCTGCCCTGGGTGCCCCACCCACCTCCCAGCAGGCTTCTGCAGGACTGGCCTTTCTGGTACTCTTGTTTCCCTTCATGTGCCCTGTGTGGGCCTGGCTACTCACACTTGGTGAGGAAGGCCCCCCCATAGTGGGCCTGTGTGGCAGGAGGTAGCCGTGCCCAGCAGGCCTGCAGGGTTTTCTCCAGACTCTCCAGGTTGGTCACAGGGGTTCGGAAGAAGCCAGGCTCCACGATGGAGACTCGTATCCCAAAATGAGCCACATCCCGCCTAGAAGAGGGGCAGAGGGAAGTTGCTGGGTTCTTGCTCTATAGGGAGGGGACTTTGAGGGACATGGGTTGGGGAGCTGAGAAAGTTACCACAGACCAGGGACAAGAGTTTTGATGGAGATACCTACTGCCCTGGGACAAGGGTCAAGTGGGGTAGAAGGAGGAAAGGATTTTTGTGGTTTGTTTTCTTTGATCTAGAGCAGGGGTCAGCACATTTTTTTCTTAAAGGGCCAGAGAGTTAATATTTTAAGCGTGACAGGCCAAGAAACAAAATTAATGATATTATCAGGTACTTATATAACAGTTTACAATGTAACCATTTAAAAATCTAAAAACCATTATTAGCTTGTAGGCAGCTGGCCAGATCTGGCTTGAGTACTGAGTTTGCCAATTCCTGACCTAGGGGAACCCCATTCCCTTGTTCCTGAAACACAGGGTTGAGCCCTGAGTGCTGGATATTGAAGGGTATAGTCTCATATTTGCTGGAGGGTAAGCTGATGGGGAGAGTTGGGATACATCCCATTGCTCTGGCATAGATGTAGAAATCCAAGTATAGGTAAGGAGCAGGAGGGGAGGGGAGAAAAAATCCAAGTGTAAAGTATGTGTTCCAGTATGCAGTGGCTCATGCCTATAATCCCAACACTTTGGGAGGCCCAGGCGGAAGCATCGCTTGAGGCCGGGAGTTTGAGACAAGTCTGGTCACCACAGCAAGACCCTATCTGTAAAAAAAATACTAGCCAGGCATGCTGGCACACGCCTGTGGTCTCAGCTACTCAGGAGGCTGAGGCGTAAGTATCGCTTGAGCTGCTTGAGCCTAGGAGTTTGAGGCTGCAGTGGGCTGTGAGTGCACCATTGCACTCCATGCTGGGTGAGAACAAGGCCTTGTCTCAAAACTAAAAAAAAAAGCCTGTGTTCCATGATGCTGCCTGGAAAATTCAGGCTGAGAGACAGGGACAAAAGGAGACATTCAGATTATTTGCTGAGTGATGGTGACAAAGGCAGGCTTCCTTAGAAGGTGGACTAAGCTTAGGCGCCTTGTACTTCTGCTAAGAACTCAGGCCTTGGGCTGTGTGTGGTGGCTCACGCCTGTAATCCCGGCACTTTGGGAGGCTGGGTCCGGTAGATCACTTGAGGTCAGGAGTTCGAAACCAGCCTGGCCAACATGGTGTAACCCCATCTCTACTAAAAATACAAAAAAATTAGCTGGGAGTGGTGGCGGGTGCCTGTAATCCCAGCTAATTGGGAGGCTGAGGCAGGACAATTGCATGAACCTGAGAGGCAGGGGTTGCAGTGAGCTGAGATCTTGCCATTGCACTCCAGCCTAGGCAACAAGAGCAAAACTCTCAAACAAACAAACAAAAAAACAAAAACCAAACAAAAAGAACTCAGGCCCTGCTCCCCTGTTGTCCTCATCATGTCTCCTTTGTGCTCCCATGGAACTTTGAACCTTATTGTTTAAAGATGAGAGAGAGGTAAGGCCAGGCGTGGTGGCTCACATCTGTAATCCCAGCACTTTGGGAGGCCGAGGCGGGCAGATCACGAAGTCAGGAGTTAGAGACCAACCTGGCCAACACAGTGAAACCCCATCTCTACTAAAAATACAAAAATTAGCCGGGCATGGTGGCACGTGCCTGTAGCCCCACCTACTTGGGAGGCTGAGGCAGGAGAATCGCTTGAAACCGGGAGGCGGAGGTTGTGGTGAGCCAAGATCGCGCCACTGCACTCCAGCCTGGCAACAGAGCGAGAGTCCATCACAAAAAAACAAAAAACAAATGCGTTAAAAATGGGTAAAGAGAAGTAATCTACTTATGGTCACAAAGCTTACATAAGGGTGGGGTTTGAACTCATGAAGTCTAGCCTTAAACTGTCTTAACTATTCCAATATGCTGTATCTTAACCATCTCTGCTGGCCCATGTTTGTTGAGTGGGCTGCTCTTAGTCCTGGAACCCAGAGCCCTGTACCCCTCACCTCAGACTGTCGGAGAAGGCCTCCAGGCCAAATTTGGAGACACAGTAGCCCCCACCATTGGCTGCCAGGCGACCCAGGACGCTGGTGATGTTGATCACCCGGCCCCGGGCTCGCTGCAGCAGAGGCAGCAGGGCAAGGGTGACCCCGATGGGACCCATTGTGTTCACATTCAGCACCCGCTGGAAATCATCCCGGGTCAGCCATGGTGTGGGTCCGATGATACCAGCCACACCAGCATTATTCACCAGACCAAAAAGCCCTGTGGGGAGATGAGAAGGATGCTGGGGGTAGGTAAGGCACTCCCACAGCCCCCTCTTCTTCCTGGGAGCATCTGAAAACAACTGCTCCTCCTCAAATAGTCCCTTTAGCTTACCACAGCCCTTGCAGGTGACTCCTGGGGTCATTGTGGGGATCAGGACACCCCACACCATATTCCTAGTGGTCTACCATACTTACCTGCTTCCTTAACGTGCGTCTCCACCCACTTGGCTGCCTGCTGGACGCTCTGGGGATCAGTGATATCCAGCAGGGTAGTGTGGAGGCGGGAGGAGGCCACCCGCTGCAGGTCCTCGGCCCCAGAGGGAGTCAGGCAGCTGGCCAGGACTCGGAAGCCTCTCTGGTCTAGCTGCAGTGCCAGAAGGCGCCCAAAGCCTGAGTCACAGCCGGTGATGAAGACAAAGGCATCGCTGGCGGGCAGGCTCTGCCGGTCCCTGAGCAACCACAGCACTGCCCAGAGTAAGGCACCCAGCAGCAGAGGCAGCCACATAGCTGGAGCCCAAGTGACCTACAGGTGGCAGCCTAGGCTGGGCAGAAAAACTTGTCCAGTTTACTGCGGCCCTCAAGCCCTTTCCCCTAATACCTTCCCTAGCTGGAAGCATCTGGTGTGAGCATATTGAGAAATTATCTGGTTGGCAGATAATTGGCCAACTATGGCTCATCTGTGCAAAGCAAAGATGTGGGCAGACCCTGTATTTGTGGCTAATTTAACTAAAGCCACATGAGCCAGGTCCTGTGTACAGACCTGCTGTATGGAGCAGAGGCATCTTCTTGCTTGCCTCACACTTTCTCTCCTACTAAACCAGGGACACTGAACCTTCTATATGCAACCTGGGTCTTGTGTTTGGAATGATGTATAGGGCCAAGAACCCTGCATTTAGTCCTGGTGGC